ACTAGAAAAAAGAGTTATTTTTAAAAATTACTCCGAATGACTCCGTACTTATAACTCCGGAACTTGTGACTCTAAAAAAGAACTCTAGAATAATCCGAAATCAGTTCCGATTAATTTGACGATTCAGTATCAAAGTCTTCAGTCAAAGTAATTCTTGAAAGGAACGCGAACTTATTGTTGAAATCCTATAACCGGTAGAACTAGTTCAAGATCGATCCCGAACCGTTTTTAGTTGAACCAAGGACAAAGAACTGTAACCAAAACCACAAATTCGAATTTTAGTAATTCGCAATAATTTGAACTGGACATACAAATAATATCAAACTCCTTGCCTCGAAGCTTCTCAGATCACATAGAGAAACTACTCCGAACCAGTTCGGAAATTATTTAGGATTGTCGTACTAGAACTAGAACACATAAACCAGTTCAAAATTTTGATTGCGAACGATTTCGGGACTAGAAATTAATGCTTGGGAGTTGGGACTCTTTACCAGGAAATTTGTAAAAACTAAATCACATAACAAACCTATTGTACTCAGAACTAGATTGAAACTTATGGCGTTTCCGATTGGTAGATTCAGTGTGCACTGAGTTTATTTGCATCCTTTTAATCGACCTGTAGAAGAAAAAGACAGAAATAAAAAAAAATTGCACTAGTTCCGCACAAGATCTACCAATCGGAAATGCCATTATTTAGAATAGAACACATGCCTACTATAAGCCAGTTCGAAGTTCTATTTATACCGAACAATGTCGGGACACAAAATTGAAACTCTGTATCGAACCAAGAGAATTAGTTCAGACTCGATTCGGAACTGGTTCTAATTGAACTGACAACATAACGAGCCTACTCCGAACCACTTTTGAACTTATCTAGGATAGAGCACATGCCTACTATAAACCAGTTCGAAGATTTATTTTATTGCGAACAATTTTGGGACACCAAATTGAAACCTATACCAGTTAAAGTTTGCAAATACGGTGCATAAAATTGCACTTATGATCCTCGAACTAGTAGAATTAGTTCACAATCGATCAGGAACTAATTCTAATTGAACTAAGGACAACATAACGAATATACTGCAAAACAATTTGGAACTCAATTTAGTATAGAACACATGCCTACTCTACTATAAACCAAAACCGGAATTCATAATCAATTCGGAACAGGTGGTACATGAAGCGAAAAACCACGTGCGTGAAGAGGCCTCAAATACATTTTTTATTTCAGTTCAAACCAAAGTTGATTTAATGTAGCACTAGAAAAAAGGGTTATTTTTGAAAATTACTCCGAATGACTCCGTACTTATAACTCCGGAACTTGTGACTCTTAAAAAGAACTCTAGAATGATCCAAAATGAGTTCCGATTAATTTGACGATTCATGTTCATTTGGGGCCAATTTTACCAGAACTATACGTTTGGAGTAACTCCTAAAAGGAACACGAACCTATTGTTGAAACTCTAGAATCAGTAGAACTAATTCAAGATCGATCCCAAACCTATTTTAGTGGAACCAAGGACAAAGAACTGTAACCACAAATTCGAATTTCAGTGATTCACGATTATTTGAACTGGATATACAAATAACACTGAACTAGCTCTAAATCCTGAATTGCCTCGAAGCTTCTTGGATCACATAGAAAAACTACTCCGAACCAGTTATTATTTAGGATTGTCGTAGTAGAACTAGAACACATAAACCAGTTCAAAATTTTGATTGCGAACGATATCGGGAATAGAAATTAATGCTCGGGACTCTTCACCAGTTGAAAATTGTGAAAACTCAATCACATAACGAACCTACTCCGAAGTAGCATAAAATTGCACTTATGATTCTCGAACCAGTAAAATTGGTTCAGGATCGATCCGGAACTGATTCTAATTGAACCAAGGACAACATAACGAATATACTGCGAAACAATTTGGAACTTAATTTAGGTTAGAATACATGCCCACTATAAACCAAAACCAGAATTCATAATCGATTCGGAACAGGTTGTACACGTTGCGAGAAACCGCACGTGCGTAAAGGCCTCAAATTCATTTTTTATGCGAGCTCAAACCAAAGTTGATTTAATAGAGCATTGGAATTTAGAAAAGGGTTATTTTTGAAAATTACTCCGAATGACTCCGTACCTATAATTCCGGAACTTGTGACTCTTAAAAAGAACTATAGAAATGATCCGAAATCAGTTCCGACTAATTTGACAATTCAGTATGTAAGTCTTCAGTCAGAGTAACTGTTAAAAGGAACGTGAACTTATTGTTAAAACCCTAGAACCGGTAGAACCAGTTAAAGAACGATCCCGAACCGATTTTAGTTGAACCAGGGACAAAGAACTGTAACCACAACCACAAATTCGAATTTTAGTGATTCACGATAATTTCAACTGAACATACAAATAGTACCAAACTCCTTGCCTCGAAGCTTCTCGGATCATATAGAAAAACTACTCCGAACCAGTTCGAAATTCATTAATGTTTGTCGTAGTAGAACTAAAACACATAAACCAGTTCAAAATTTTGATTGCGAACGATGTCGGGACTAGAAATTAATGCTCGGAACTCTTTACCAGTTGAAAATTGTGAAAATCTTAGGCCCAGTTGTACCAAATAGAGGTTCAGTTGATGAACTCTACTGGTACTTGATCTTTTCCATTTAAAATGCGCTACTGTCAAAAAATATACACTTTGACAGATTTCTGATATTAAATGCGTTTTAAATGGGAAAAATTCAAGTACCAGTATAGTTCAACTGAACCTCGATTTGGTGTAACGGGGCCTTAATCACATAACGAATCTACTCCAAACTAGTTTGGAACTTATTTAGGACAGAACACATGCCTACTATAAACCAGTTCGGAGTTCCATTTCATTCCGAACAATGTCGGGACACAAAATTGAAATTCGGTACCGAACTATTAGAATTAGTTCAGAATCGATTCGGAACTGGTTCAAATTGAACCAAAGATAGCATAACGAGCCTACTTCGAACCAGTTTGGAATTTATTTAGGATAGAACACATGCCTACTATAAACCAGTTCGAAGTTTTATATTATTGCGAACAATTTCGGGACACCAAATTGAAACTCTGTACCAGTTAAAATTTGAAAATAATAGCTGCAAAAAATTGCACTTATGATTCTCGAACCAGTAGAATTAGTTCAAAATCGATCCGGAACTGGTTCTAATTGAACCAAGGACCTGTAAACCAAAACCAGAGTTCATAATCAATTCGGAACAGGTTGTACACGGAGCGAAAAACCACATGCGTGAAAGTCTCGAATGCAATTTCTATGCGAGCTCAAATCAAAGTTGATTTAATGGAATGACTCCGTACTTATAACTCTGGAACTTGTGACTCTTAAAAAGAACTCTAGAAATGATCTTAAATCAGTTCCGATTAATTTGAAGATTCCTTTTTATTTAAGCCCAATTTTACCAGGACTATACGTTTGGAGTAACTCTTAAAAGGAACGCGAACTTATTGTTAGAACCCCAGAACCAGTAGAACTGGTTCAAGATCGATCCCGCTTCTTGGGTTGGTGTCCCAAATATATCAATTCCTGAGAAATTTTCAACTCACGGGACATGATTTTCCTAAATGCTAATAATTTATCTGTCACAAAAATAACCAACGTCGCAACCGCTTGTTATTGAAGTTGAGTTCGGAATGGGATTTTAGTGCAGTGTTCCGGTAGTGCAATGTTATATCACGTGATGAAGGTGTAAAATCGGCGGTGTAACACCGAATACACCAACATTTTGTACCGAGTAAACGGTGTCCCACCATCTTCACACCATTCGGACACCAAATTATTTCCGAACGCAAATAAAGTGTACACCAAACACTCCTACCAATTAACGAACGCCACGGTGTCAATACTGTGAAAAGTGTCGACACTTTCTACCATTCCGAACTCACATTGAGTGGAGTGAAAGTCTATATACGGAACATATACTTAGGATTGTCGTAGTAGAACTAGAACACATAAATCAGTTCAAATTTTTGATTGCGAACGATTTTGGGACTAGAAATGAATGCTCGAGGCTCTTTACCAGTTGAAAATTGTAAAAGCTTAATCACATAACGAACCTACTCCGAACTAGTTATAACTTATTTAGGATAGAACACAGGCCTACTATAAACCAGTTCAGAGTTCTATTTTATTCCGAACAAGTCGGTACACAAAATTGGAACCCTGTACCGAACATATAGAACTAGTTTAGAATCTATTTGAAACTGGTTCTAAATGAACCAAGAACAACATAACGAGCCTACTTCGAACCAGTTTGGACTTATTTAAAATAGAACCGCTTTTCAGTATCGAAGTGTGAAGCTCGGAGCTACTCGGAACGTTGAGCTCCCGAGCTATACGTACGGACTCCAGTACAAATCTAGTGTGTGGCACTCTCGGGGTGCTCTAGACTGCGCCAATGTGCATACTGGAAAGCAGCTCAGAGCACATGCCTACTACCAGTTCCGAATTTTATTTTATTGCGAACAACTTTGGAACACCAAAATGAAACTCTGTACCAGTTAAAATTTGCAAAATGGCTATATAAAATTGCACTTATGATTCTCGAACCAGTAGAAATAGTTCAGAATCGATCCGGGACTGGTTCTAATTGAACCATGAACAACCTACCTCGAAGCAGTTTGGAACTTATTTAGGATAGAACATAATATGCCTACTATAAACCAGAACCAGTTCGATGTTTTATTTAATTCCGAACAAAGTCGAAACACCAAATTAAAACTCTGTCTCAGTTCAAATTTGCAAATACACACACATACAGCTATCTACCTTATGATTTAAATTTTTGTGAACTTTAAAAATACATAACTTTTTTTCTATTAGAGATGAAAAGCTGAAATTTTCAGCGATTCTTATCCAAGTAGAGGACTACAATCCCTGAAAATGTCAGCTCATTTGGACTTCCGAGATCCTTTCTTCAAAATAAAATAATTCCTTACCTTTATTCTTCTTCTGTACAGCACCCCACAAAGTATGCGTATGCTGACAACTAGCCCTAGTAATAGTGACACTAATCAAACTACTATCCTCTTGCCTAGTTGCCAAATCGTCCCTCAATCGCATCACTATACCGGAAAACGAGCCTGGTTGCCATTTATCCGCTTGCCTCTCATAATGCCTTATTGATGCCGAGCCAATTTTGCTTTTCACTTTCAAGTAGATACTTTGAAAGTCCAGCGAACTGACAATGTCTTCTGCGTCGACAACTAGTTTAAGTCTGCACTGAGTTTGTTCTTCTAATTCACCACCTGATAGAAGTTCGATGGTAAATCTGGTGATTGTCCATTGGATCCAGGCTGTTAATTTAACTGAATCGTTTTCTAAGTTTTCTGTGTTTATTGTTGCGGAAGGTGGAGTTATTTCGCTTAAATTATCTGTGGTTTGTTCTCTGTGAGACAATGTAGAACTACCTAAGAAAAAATATAAGATAACAATCAAATAATTATCAAAAAAAGTTACCTTTTGTTAGGCCTGGTAATTCTTGCAATGGTTTACTTGAACAACTAGTTGGTAATAGATTTGAAGCAACTTCCATTAAACCGTAAAGTATGCTGGCAAATAAATAAACTTGAACTTCTGATGTTGATATTAGTATAGGAGTTGTGTCTATATGTACGCAAACCCCTAAAGAACCAATATCTATTTTGCTAGCTTTACAAGGACTATTTGGTATTGGTTCAACTTTTTTTTTAGCGCTTTTTTTGATTTGGGTTGTAGGACTGTTTGGTATACTGCTGGAAGGACTTTTACTAAGTGATTGCTTAGGACTTTTCTCAAGTTTCTCATTATCATCAGCATTTTTTGATGGACGTGTTGACAGACCTACAGTTGCACTCAAGGAAACTGGTTTTAGAAATATTAGTTTTTCACCATTTTGCATTGTGTAGCAACTTAATTCCGATATTGACATTGTCCAAGGAAAACTGGATTTGTCTTTAAAAAAAATATACATGTATTAAATTATTTATTTGTACAAGAAAAACATTGTTACCTGCTGTCCAAATATTGTCTGGTAAAGCCACAGGCAAATGCTTCAAATATTTACCAATATTTTGCCTTTGGGCGCTTCTAATGTTGGCAAAAGGCAAAGTAATAACCAATATATCAGGGCCTTTATCCTTATTATTTAAAGCTTGTTGGACAGCTTCTTGAATACCTTGTGACCCAACAGCTGACAAAGAGCTCATAGGAAAATAAATAGTGCACTGTGAAACATCCCCACACAAAAAAATTCCTTTCCAAACATCAAACCAAGATTTCAAAATGTTGTAGACTTTTTCTTGCACGTCAGCGCTGTCTTCTTTGGTAGCTGTTTCGGAAATGGTGATTTTTTGAGGCAAATGCTGATGCTCCCTGTCTGAACTGCTATGAACAGACTCAAGCTGACTTAGTCTTCTTGGGACGTCTACCATACTACCACTGGCTACACTGGTTTTTGTATCGGTAATGTCACTGGAAAAAAAAAATTCAATAATAGTTGAAATCACGAGGCAAACCATCCAGGAATTATTTGCCAAAACTGTAGAGAATTTGTAGGATTTATTTAAGGAAAATTGGAGGAATGTATATTGGTTTTGACACTGAGCGTAATAGAAATAGAAAAATATATTTCTTATCACGAACAATTTTGGGGATTTACAGGAAATTTGTAACAGGTATTTGCAGGAAATTTGCGAACAGTTTCAAGGAATGTTTGCAGGAATTTGCGGGAAATTTAAGGAAGGGGTGGTTTCCATAGACCTTGTTAACCTTGGTAAAAATCAAAGTAAAAAAACCTCGAAGAAAACTTTAAAGCTTGAACAGCTAAAACCAAGGGGTAAACCACCATCCCAGAATTGGTGCAAACAATTCCTCGAAGGGGAATTTTTTACGCATAATTCCTACAAATTCCTCCAAATATCCCATCACAAATTCCTCCAAATACCACACCACGAACTTCTCCAAATACCCCACAAATTCCTCTAAAAAAGGGAAAATTTAAAACTTTTTGTATGTAAAGAAGAAGGTGAGAAGCTGATTTTCCCAAAATTTCAAATTTTTCCAGTGGAAAACAGCAACATGAAAAATCTTGGAAATTAACCTACAATAACTGGATTAATTGAAAATACAGTCCCAAACATTTCAAAGATTTCCTGGAAAACTAGTGAAGGGAAAATTTTGAAACTTTTTGCATGTAAAGAGGAAGGTTATAAGAAGCTCATTTTCCCAAAATTTCAAATTTTCCCAGTAGAAAACAGCAACATGAAAAATCTTGGAAATCAACCTACAAAAACTGAATAAGTTGGAAATACAGTCTCACACATTTCAAAGTTTTCCTGGAAAACTAGTGAAGGGAAAATTTTTGCATGTAGAGAGGAAGTTGAGAAGCTCATTTTCCCAAAATTTCAAATTTTTTCAGTGGAAAATAACAACATGAAAAATTTTGGATATCAGCCTACAAAAACTGTATTCATTATTCTTTTGAATTTTTTAAATTTGACAATTTCCTTCAAATTCTTCATAAATTCTCCCAAATTCCCCATAAATTCCTCCAAATTCCCTATAAATTCCCCAAATTCTCATAAATTCGGATGAGTTCCTTCAAATTCCTCACAATTTGGGTATTTTTATGGAATTTCTAAGAGGTATTTACGGGTAGTTTGAAGAATTGTTTACACAAATTCGGTGTGTAGTGGTTCACCCCTTGGTTAAAATAATATAAATAACAAATTACCTGACGAGGAAATTCTTTGGCACATACAGCATCCATTTGCACAACAAAGGATCAATACAAATCCTGATTTCTTGTAAATTGAATAGTAAAATTGGTGGATGTTTTTGCAGTTCAGGTTTAAGAGGAAATTGCACAGTTATTGTTAAAAGAGGCGAATTTTCTGAAAAGCTTTTCCGCTTTGTTTCCTTAATTTCACTTATTTCAGGGCCACTAATAAACAAAACCTGCTGTATATTAACAGTGGCCGGTTTCTTTATTGTTTCAAAAATAAATGCCTTAATGGCTTGGATGCTTATGTCGAATGTTTGAGTTGAATTTGTGATTACTTTTATAAATCTGATGCCTTCAATACAAATTTCCATGTGTGGAAAACCGAAATCTTTGCAAGCATCTGTAAGCAAACTGGAACTGTAAATGCTTCTACCAAATGCTTTTTTGAGCAGTAGCTGTTCTAAAATATTATAAGCTACAAGCATTTTTGCTTTCGTACCATTCAGAGTGACACTTTCACTTTCAAAAACCATCTCGTTGTGTGGTATATCAGAATTTATCCAATAATGAGGCTTAATGATTGTTTTTGAGCTACAAATAAAACTTGATTAAAACATAAATGAGTTAATATTAGTTGTTACCTAAAAGATACATTGCTGGGTGTCAGGATAATACTCTGGCAAGCCGAATTTATCACTAATCGACTCAACAGACCAACAATTTTTATGTTTTTATTAACATAACAAGAATCAAACAATTTTTTGGGAGGTTCTGGTAATTGACAAGTAGTATGCACCAGCCTGTTATAATACATTGGGTATTTTTGGCTCAAATCGATAAATTGACATTCTATGGTGATTTTTGGTAGGATTGACGAAGTACCAGACATAGTTCCTGATTTCTTGCTCCTTTTAAACATACAAGTTTTATTTGGTTCAAAACAAGGATGATCCATAAGTTCCAGCTCAATAAGTGGTGCAAATAATGTCAATCTTAAACTCCTACTAGGAATGAATTTGTTTAGAGCATCAAAATCCTCTTCAGAAGGTGGTTGCAAGTTTTGCAAAGGTAAATCAGGCTTTAAAGTGTAATAGGGCGGATAATCGTAAAAAGAAGCTGCTGTTTGTATAGTATTGGCTCGATGTATAAGGCCTGAACAAACTCGCAATCTGAAGGGGCCTATACATAAACGCAATGAGGAAATTTCAGAAAAATTACTAAACTCATAGTTGCTGCCATATTCTGATAAATCCTCGCTGCTTATATCAATAGGAATATCCATTTTGTAAGCATAATCAAAAGCAAGAGCAGGAGTTTTCTCTAAAAGAACAGATTCTGTGGTCATAGTCATATGCAAATCCCATTGGGTGTTGTATTGTCTTTTGCCTCCTCTATTTTCTATAGCTTCTGCGTCAAAAAGTGAATCTAGTTTGTGAAAATTTGACATAGAACCTAAAATGGAAAACATATTTTACTTATACACAAAATCCTGTATTATTTTACCTAATTTAAGGTATGGTACAGTGTTGTCATTAACTTCAGCATAACCACAACTACAATATCCTAAAGGAATTAATGAAGCTTCACTTATGCCCCCGGTACAATTAAACCATTCTAAACCATGTATTATAGTGTCAATATAAATGCCTTGTAAATCTAATGTAAGCATTGGATGATAACGTTGCTTTTTGTGTGAATAGTAGCCTCTTTCAGAATTAGTTTCAGAGACCTACAAGCAATATTAAAATATTTTACTCAAAAATTCAAAAACTTACCTTAAAAGTTATTGAAGCTCTATCAACATAAAACCCCAAATGTAAAGTATGCCCCTTATGACTACTAAGTTCGTTCTCGTCCCAATTACTATCCTCCCAAGGCGCAGGTAAAACTGAAGAAATAGCTGACCAAGCCCACCCAGTCCAAGTTTCATTGTCCTCTTGATTTTCTTGATTTTCCAAAGAGCCACCTGCAGTGTCCATTAAAGATTCTAAATCAGGCTTTAACTGCTTTTGTTGCAAAGCATACAACAACAAAATTAGCCTTATAAGCATGGGCACTTGCTGTTCAGTCATGCTAAATTCCATATTGTTGCAATAAATGTCTAGTCGCATTGTTGAAGCCACACTAGCAGTGGCTGAATGATAATGTCTCAACAAGTGCATACTCATTGAGCACCTGTAAAGCATTGGTTCTTGATAAACTTCGATTTTGCCCGAAGCATTTCGCTTGTCCAAGCATAAAGTTAAATCTGTGATGCTTATAATCTTGCGGAGTATTACTTTGGCTGGTGAAGGATCAGTGTAGGCGGGCTCCCACTTTTCATTGGCACCTTCGAATTTTAGCAGTTTTACATTCATGGATAGGACAATGTCTTCTTCAACGTACTTCAATATTAGATTGTTGCAATGGATGCATATGTTGCTGACTATTTTGTTTATTAGGGATTGGATATAGCCGGGAGGGGGTTCTATTGAGCTTCTGAAATTTTTGTTTTAAAGGGTGGAAGTTTATGATAAGATTGACTTACTTTTGTCCAATGGCTTTTTCTTTTGCACGTTTTTGGGGGGTGGCTCTTGTGCCTCTGCCTTTCAAATTTAATATACATTCTGGAAAAATTTAGAACAGAGTTTTCATCAAATACAAGTTGATGGCGGTTAGGATATAAGTACATAAGTACTTAGAGTCAATGAAAATAACAACAAGAATAAAGAAAAGGGTACATCGAGAGGTAAATCATTGTATACATTAAAGTTGTATACACAAGAAATTCCTCAAAAATCCTTGAAATTTCCTGAAATACCTCTTAACTTTGAAAATTCCCTGGAATTTCCCAAAATACCTTAGTATTCTCCAAAAATTCCTAAAATTATTCTAAATTCTCCAAATTTCCACAAAATTCCTACAGCTCATTTGAACTTATACTAGTTCCCGGCTTCAAATTTCAGAATAATTTAGTGTATGGAGTTTCGGGAGTCCCGAATGATCATTTAGATACAAAATCTTAACATAAAAAAAAATTGAAATTTTATCATTTTAGTACTAAGATATTAGCTATTTTATGATTTGGATTTTCAAAAACTTTGAAGACCCATAACTATTTTTCTTTTATAGATAGAAAGCTGAAATTTTCACCGATTCTTATCCCTGTGGAGGACTACAATTCCTGGAAATTTCAGCTCATTTGGACTTATAGTTCCAGAAATAAAATAGTATCAAGCAATTTAGGGTGGTTTATCGATTTCTCGATGTTTCTGAATGCCTTTTTCCATAGAATCCAGCTCCAAATCTCAGAATAATTTGGTGCATGGAGCTTGTGGGGTCCCAAATGATCATTTAGATACAAAATCTCAAGGGGTAAACCACCATCCCAGAATTGGTGCAAACAATTCCTCAAATGGGATTTTTTTACGCCTAATTCCTCAAAATTACTGCAAATTCCTCCAAATTCCTTCAGATACCCCATCACAAATTCCTCCAAATAGCCCACCACGAACTTCTCCAAATACCACACAAATTCCTCTGAAAAAAGGGAAAATTTTGAAACTTTTTGCATGTAAAGGGAAAGGTGAGAAGATCATTTTCCCAAAATTTCAAATTTTTCCAGTGGAAAATAACAACATAAGGAATATTGAAAATCAACCTACAATAACTGAGTTAATTGATAATACAGTCTCACACATTTCAAAGTTTTCCTGGAAAACTAGTGAAGGGAAAATTTTAAAACTTTTTGCATGTAAAGAGGAAGCTGGAAGCTTATTTTCCCAAAATTTTAAATTTTTCCAGTGAAAAACAGCAACATGAAAAATCTTGGAAATCAACCTACACAAACTGAATTAGTTGAAAATACAGTCTCACACATTCCAAATTTTTCCTGGAAAACTAGTGATGGGAGAAATTTGAAACTTTTTGCATGTAAAGAGGAAGGTGAGAAGCTCATTTTCCCAAAATTTAAATTTTTTTCAGTGGAAAATAACAACATAAGGAATATTGAAAATCAACCTACAATAACTGAGTTAATTGATAATACAGTCTCACATATTTCAGAGTTTTCTTGGAAAACTAGTGAAGGGAAAATTTTGAAACTTTTTGCATGCAAAGAGGAAGGTGAGGAGCTCATTTTCCCAAAATTTCAAATTTTTCCAGTGAAAAACATCAACATGAAAAATCTTGTAAATCAACCTAGGTACACAAACTGAATTAGTTGAAAATACAGTCTCACACATTTCAAAGTTTTCCTGGAAAACTAGTGAAGGGAGAAATTTGAAACTTTTTGCATGTAAAGAGGAAGGTGAGAAGCTCATTTTCCCAAAATTTCAAATTTTTTCAGTGGAAAATAATAACTTGAAAAATCTTGAAAATCAGCCTACAAAAACTGTATTCCTTATTCTTTTGAATTTTTTAAATTTGGACCTGTAAATCATGTAGTGTAAGTTATGGAGGATTTCTTTAATGAAAATGAATATCCAACGTCCAACACAAAACTAGATTTTTTTTTTAAAATTTCCCGAGAAATTTCCATTTATTATTATTTCTTATAATAAGAATGTGAACCTCAGTGATGTCAAATTCCTCATAAATTCCTTCAAATTCCCTATAAATTACCCAAATTCTCATAAATTCCGATGAGTTCCTTCAAATTCCTCACAAATTCCTCTTAATTTCTCACAAATTCCCCACATGTTTGGCAATTCTAGGTGGTTTGCCCCTTGCAAAATCTCAACATAAAAAAAATTTGAAATTTTATCATTTCAGTACTGAGATTGAGGGGGTAACAACTGGTGACAAATGACAATACATGTACAAATTTTATTGAATTACAACGCATTACTGCCATTACGGTGGTATTACCGGCATTACACTGGCATTACAGGCATTACTCGATATTACCAGGGATTACGCTGACATTACAAGGCATGAGCTACAAATCCGGAGGAACTACACTTGCATCCAATGGTGTTATGAATGATTGTTAAGGTTTTAATGTATGTATACCTACAATAATTTTATCAAGTTTTATGTATTTAATGAAGTACTAATCGAGTATTTATTTATTTTATTTTTGTATGTATATGTATGAAATCCTGTCACAAATTCGTCCAAAATCCTCGAAATCCTTCCAAAATCCACGAAATCCCTCCGAAATCCACGAAATCCCTCAGAAATCTTTCCGCAGACCCAAAAATCCCTCGCAATGGGCCCAAAATTCATTAATCGGTCAACGCGGATGTTTTTCAGTTTATACACTTTCGAATATACCTACTTATGAGATAAGTAACAGTCTAAAATCAAATTAAAATATTTGCAAAATCACCTGAAATTTTCCGAAATCACCCAAAATCCTTCGAAATCACCCGAAACAACCGAAATCCCTCAAAATCGCTCTAAATCTGAAATCTTTTCACAATCCCTCGAAATCCTTCCGAAATTCTACCCTTAGTGAAACAAACCTCAAATTTTTCAAATATTCACTGGAGGATCATATTCATATTACCAACCGCAATATTTGAATTAATTTTGGGTATATTTGTGTATCTACAAAATGAGAATAATTTTACATATACAGGGTGTATATACATATGGTATATTTAACAATAAGAATTAATAAATTGATACGGTTTTTGTAAAATAAATTATGTGATAATTTATTAGCATTTTATCCAGATTTAGGACCATTTTATTCACCTTCTGATGAACTGTCAGGTAAGGCAATCTGATGGATAAAAACGCAATATGTAATTCCATTGGTCGGCCAGTTACCAGCAAGATGAATCACCCGGGCCTTAGAAAAATAACTAATACGTAATAAATATGTACAAACTATAGGATGTGATGTTTGTTTTCAACAATGTATATAATGTTTTGTTTTTCTGGTCCGATTACGTAAAACTATTTCATGTAGCCTAGGTATACATAATCATAATGGCATTACATAAAATTACATGGCATTATAATATAATTACTGGCATTATATTGGAATCACTTATGTAATGCATAATACATGTACAAATTTTAGTCCAGTTGTTACCCCCTCGACTTATGATTTGAATTTTCAAAAATTTTAAAGACCCATAACTTTTTTTCTATTATAGATAGAAAACTGAAACTTTCACTGAATTTTATCCCAATCAAGGGACTACAATCCCTGAAAATTTCAGCTCATTTGGACTTATAGTTCCAGGAATAAAATCGTGTTAAGCAATTTGGGATGATTTATCAAATTTTCGATTTTTCTGAGTGCCTTTTTCCATAGAATCCGCCCCCAAATCTTAGAATAATTCAGTGTATGGAGTTTGGGGGGCCCCGAATGATCGTTTAAATACAAAATTTCAACATAAAAAAATTTGAAATTTTATCATTTTAGTAACTGATGATTTGGATTTTCAAAAAGTTTAAGGACCCATAACGTTTTTTCTATTATAGATAGAAAGCTGAAATTTTCAGCGATTCTTATCCCTGTGGAGGACTACAATCCCTGAAAATTTCAGCTCATTTGGACTTATAGTTCCAGGAACAAAATCGTGTTAAGCAATTTGAGGTGATTTATCAAATTTTCGATTTTTCTGAGTGCCTTTTTCCATAGAATCCGCCCCCAAATCTCAGAATAATTTAGTGTATGGAGTTTGGGGGGCCCCGAATGATCGTTTAAATACAAAATCTCAACATAAAAAAAATTTGAAATTTTATCATTTTAGTACTAAGATAGTTGAAGAACCATAACTTTTTTTCTAATATAGATAGAAAGCTGAAATTTTTAGCGATTCTTATTCCTGTGGAGGACTACAACTTGTAGTTCCAGGAATAAAATCGTGTTAAGCAATTTGAGGTGATTCATCAATTTTTCGATTTTTTTGAGTGCCTTTTTTCATAGAATTTGGCTCTAAATCGCAGAATAATTTAGTGCATGGAGTTAGGGGAATTCCAAATGAACATTTAGATACAAAATCCCAACATAAAAAAATTTGAAATTTCATCATTTTAGATTTTATTAAGTGCTAAGGTAGCTTACCAAGGGGTAAGTACATTAACAGGTATAGGAAGAATTTATCAGTGTCAAAATATTCCCTATAGGAATAAGAGTTCTTAGATGCTATTAGGAGAATTTTTATAAGTTCCAACCGAGGTTCCAACTTATTTCTAGATGTATTTCTCAGGTGGCAGACCTAAATTTCTCTTTCCATATCAAATTCTTCAACTTACAAGTATGTATGTATAATGAATCTCTACAGATCTGAAGATACAGAAATGTTTTTGTCTTGGTTTTTGTACTTTGCATCAATACCATGCTATGCCTACTTAGAATAAAAATGGAATAAGATAAGGAATAAGACTCTGATCTTCATTACAGATCTAAAGATACAAACATGTTATTGTACTTTGCAAGAATACCATGGTATTTATACTCAGAATCAATATTGAAACAAGACTATACTCTCTACAGATCTGAAGATACAGAAATGTTTTTGTACTCTGCAACAAAACCGTGGTGTACGGAATAAGATTGTAATTTTCATTAGAGATTTGACAATACCGAGCAGGACCAGATGATATTCCTCTAATTTTTGTGAAGAACTGCTGTCCAACTTTGACGTCATCACTTAGTTACCTG